CTCCTTTAAATAGATCAGATTGTTGAAACATTAATTTCACACGAATGTAAAACCAGTGATGTCACACGTGGACGTCGCTAATATTAACCTTTACTCACGTCTACAAATCCGGATTCACACCCATTTATGCTAAAGTAGCTTAATTTTGAACTGTAGCCGATTTATTTCGAGATTTTAACAAAACACAATTAAATTTATTACGTGTGTCTTTTGGTTCTCGACCTATTATCTTGTTTTATTACACAGATCCTTACAATGCTACTGTTGTATCATAAGGTCTGCCATTGAGTCAACTGGGGTGGTTTCGATTCTCCGGTTATACGTGACAAGGAGTCGGGTCGCCTGTCCAACCTCGTGGACTTTCTCCGGGTACTCGAATTCCAACTGCCAAGGGATCTTATATGTGAACGCCAATGAATACACGGCACCTCTGGTTTTTCGTCCCATCCGAAAGACTAGACAGCCGTCCTTGTAAATTTAGAACCAGAATATGATTGAGGGCTATAAACAATGGGACCACGATCTCACTCGTGCGGTATCATAAGGGTGGTAATATTCTTTCTACCAAAAATGGTGGAGATGATTTTATTGTGTGACCACCTAACATGATGACTTGTGAAGTCAGGAAATAAAACAGTAAGAATAAAGTAAATACATGATAAAGTAGTTATTATAATGGATCTTTATGTCTAAGATTAGCTAATCGGGCAACAAAATTGCCATAAACCCACAAATATATTAGTAAACCATTTAAGTTAATGCGACCTGCTATAATGCTACATTTAAAGGGATTGTTCTATGATAAAGGGTATCTCAGTTAAAAAAAACATTATTATAGTTAAATGTCTAGTCGAGATTTCATCTTTATGGCTGATGAAGAAGACTCCTTCCTATGAGTTTTATTGCGAACCTAATGACTGCTCATAATCACACACATTTTATACCAAGATAAAAAAAAGAGAAGTTTTTGTTATGTGTGCGTTATAATGTTCACAGAGACATGGACTGTAAATCACGAGGGATTATAGAAATATTTTAAGCTGTAACTTTTTTATGGAAACTCTTTGTGGTGCACGCGACGCATTATTCAAAGGTGAAGAATTATGACAGGTTTATATAAATAAAAAAAATGCGAAAATGGCGGTAATGGTTGAGAATTGTTATTTTTATTTTATAAACTAGTGTGTAATACCGAGATGTGTTATTAATCAATTATGCTATATTATCTAATTATCCTTAATTACCCTCAAGTAATATTTAGCTACTCGAGTTAAATATTTACATTATGTTAAGTATTCCAGAATTTCAGATCTTGAGATAATTTTGATCTGTTATGTGGTATCCTATAATTATACAAGTATGTATCCGAACCAGTGCATTCACTTGAACATACATCAAACAAGAGCTAAATCTGTCTATTACAGGTCTTTCTTTAGGCCTGAAATGTTATCTAAATTATTAATTAGACATTAATTAACTTATCCAGACCATAATCAACTCTAAATGTCATTGATAACCTGCGATATTTTCTGGATTAGAACCCGGTCTGCTGCTTCTGATTAAATCAAAAAATGGACAATCGAGACTATGTTTTTATCGTACAGACTTTAGTAATAATGATCAAGGTTAGACCCAAAATTCAATCGCTAAAATCTCGGTTCAGAGTGAATCAGTTTGACTGAAATTTTCAGCAAATTGCCTTTACATTATCTAGTTTTTAACTATTATAGTGAGAACTGCCAGCTCTTTATCTAATCTCCCATAATGTATCTTTGAAGTTACAATTTCATATTTTTAAGTTATAGTTTTAAAATGTATTAAAATAAAGCCCTAAAATAGATGGTATCTATAAACAGTCCTACCTTGTTAAAGAATAATCCTATTAATCCTATAATTCACTATTGCCAGTTGAGAAATTGGCGAAAATATCATTTTCAACTTTAAATTCAAACGTTTGGCGATAGCTATTCCATGATGGGGAATAGGAAAACAAGGGAGGTAATTGGGAGGTAATTGTGTTATTATTTCTGGTGTGAAGATTTTTAAGTGTGAGAAAGATAACCTATGATCGTATAATAGTGAGTTGACAACCTATTGAGCAAAAGACATAGAAATAATTATGTTTTGACTTTCTTAGAAAATATGAAATTGCAACTTTAAGTTATTACACAAGAAATCCCCGATATATTTGAAATGAAAATGGTCAAAAAGCACCCAATAATGTAATATGAGTTTATATGAATTCATTTACATTCATTTTTAACATTTTTATTGATAACTAGCAGGATACCCGGCTTCGCTCGGGGTCATAACTCCGAAACCGGAAGTTGTAGACTAACGCCACCTGGCCTATGTTACTCCCCGGTCCGAGCTACCCCATACCCCAAATTTCAGACTCGGGGCAGACCTAGTGTAGCCGCCAACCCCGAACTGACAGACTTCGCTCGGGGGTCATAACTCCGAAACCGGAAGTGGTAAACTAACGCCACCTGGCCTATGTTACTCCCCGGTCCGAGCTACCCCTATACCTCAAATTTCAGACTCGGGGCAGACCTAGTGTAGCCGCCAACCCCGAACAGACAGACAGACAGACAGACAAACGACAGTCACAAATATATATATAGATTTATAATTAGTTATTTTCGTCAAAACAGAATTACTCCGGCCAATCTGATTAACATACAGATCTATATTTCGTTTTTTTTTTATACTTTCGATGACCTCTACTGTATGAAGATCTGACTGGTTGTAGTGGAAGGTCGCGTCAGAGGATATAATGTCTGTAATGTCAAAGACTGTGGATAATATTGAATTAGAGCTTTACGCTCTTTAAAAGACCTTTTATTTCGGGACTCTTTGAAAATTGTGACTTCTCCCTGAAGGAGGAAAGGAGAAAAGTATCTAACTCACTCAATATCATCCACAGTCCTCGACATTGCTAACAGGAATTGTTTGTCAATTTAAATCGACATTAATGTTGTGATCTTACCGGGCAAAGATGGGCTTATCATATTCAATATTTAAGAATGAAAATTTTAATATTGGCACACGAATCGCGTGCCAGAATGCTTTCGAGCGCCATTTGTAATGAAGCGGCTCGATGAACGAGGCTTAACACATCCCACAAGGGAATACTACCGGTGTGGACTAGAATAATCAGGCACTTGAGATTGCCATTAGATTGAGACTTCTGGCGTATTTCGCCGAACACAACTGATTAGACATTACTGTAAAAATAGAAACGATTGAATGTAAATCAGTTTATATACATTTATATTACATGCGTTGAGACCCATTTGTGTCCATTTCTAGGTGCCAAAGAATAGAGATTTAGCTCCTTTAAGTTATTTTAACCTTCTCCTGTGCTCGTCTGTGATTTCTGTTACACGGGAATCAATTACTGAAGAACTGTATACAGGTTCGAGAGAAGAATGCCACCCTACCGGGAGGAGCATACCACCCCACAGAGAGCAGCATGCCACCCCACCGAGAGAGGCATGCCACCCTACCGAGAGGAACATACCACCCCACCGAGAGAAGCATGCCACCCCACCGAGAGAAGCATGCCACCCCACCGAGAGAAGCATGCAACCCCACCGAGGGAAGCATGCCACCCCTACCGAGAGCAGCATGCCACACCACCGAGAGGAACATACCACCCCACCGAGAGAAGCATGCCACCCCACCGAGGGAAGCATGCCACCCCTACCGAGAGCAGCATGCCACACCACCGAGAGGAACATACCACCCCACCGAGAGAAGCATGCCACCTCACCGAGGGAAGCATACCACCCCACCGAGAGAAGCATACCACCCACCGAGAGGAACATGCCACACCATCAAGGTTTTGTTATACCTATTCTGCGGAAGTGTACTTTCCTGTCTTGTGGGGGGGGGGGGCTATTATGAGGAAATTCTCGGTTGTCAAATCCTATTTGTAAAAACGTTCAACCTATGCATTAGTAGAAATGAAGGATAGAGCCTGGGTTCTGGCATTCGTCGTGGTATTATTTTACTTTGTTGTGGCCTGGATGCTGTGTTAAGATGATATTGTTTTTACATGTTCAAGCTGAAAGGTTATTGGTTATTTGAACGTAAGAGAAAAGGACCTTGAATAGAATAGAAGGAATTCTATGAACTTAGACATTAATAACTTTTAGAAAGACATTCCTGAGCCGAATAGCATGCAGATTGCAGACGGGGAGTTTAGATATCAAATAATGCATTTTCTACTATGGTTTGAATTATCCGATTGCAGACGATGATATCAGCTCTTATAACTTTTCATATAAACGGGAATAACAGAGAGACACATCGGGTATAGTAATTCGTGCAGAAATTAAAGTATATAAAACTGGTTTCTTAATCAAATAGAATCAGGAGAGTCATTACCGGTTCATCAACAATATGGGATTGTTCGTCTTTTTAGTCGGAGTTTATTTTTTTTTATCTCCGACAATTGCGCCAAATGATCATGTTCACACTATCCATAACATCAACCTCGATGATTAGCCGGTAATGCGAGAGAGAATTTTATTTTATAATACTATTACGCCGAGGAATTGTTAGAATTCCAGCTGACGCTACTCCTTGTGATGCCCAGTCTGGGCGGTGTGTGTGTGGAATAGCTTTATTTTACGTCCGCTTCCATCGAAGTGATATCGCAAACAGATGCCATAGATATACACCCCTCGACCGGTTGTATCATAAAGTCTGTCATTGAGTCAACTGGCGTGGTTTCGATTCCCCGGTTGTGCGTGGCAAGGAGTATGGTCGCCTGTCCAAACTCGGGGGTTTTCTCCGGGTCCTCCGGTTTCCTCCCACTGCTAAAGACCCCTACGGGCAAGCGAATTATTGAAATAAAATTGAACCATATTTTAGTCCCGAAATGACCTAGTTTGTATCGAGTGGACGTTAAAACCCATTTCTCTCCCCCCCTCTCTCTCTCCCTCTTTTGAAGTGAGTACAAAGAAGATTTATGAAATGTGAAATTAGCCTACCTCCTGAGTAAGACACCAGAAGGATATGGTCTATAGAGAAGGGATGCGGGGATGTAAGATCTCCCTTTTCGTCTCTTGCTCTTCCCAGACACACTACAATATCCAAAAATTGTATGAATAATTTATTATTAATAAAAATTTACTCCACAAATCGACATACAAGAATGATAAAAACAATAGACACGCACAGAAATAATATTGGCACTATATAACAAAAGTCAACAGCATGATTATTGTAACTTTCTACCAAACTTGGTACCGGTTATTAAATAGTCAGCCAAAATAAAAACAAAATCAAGCACAATCGAACCTTACCAGTGGTCAGATACTAAATCCAGCTGACAAATTCGACAAAAACAAGTCATTAAGGTATATGGACTCGCCACATAAGGGAAATTCAATAGAAAAACGCAATAGAAGGGTAATCACGACTTGCCTTCCCAATTGAATCACCACGATTAAAACCACGATTTCAATTGTAGCAGGAATGGTGATAGTGAGAACCAAGCAATAGCATTTAGTCCATATTAATCCATGCGCTTAAAAAGAAGAACCAAAGATAACCTCTTGAAATATTAGTTTAAAAGCGGGCTAATTTTCTAATCTGTATATTTAAAAACTTGAGAAATATTCAGAAGAATCTTTCTATCAAGACAAACCCAAACTATTCGATATCGGTTTGAATAAATTATAATTGGCTGCCGAGTTTTACGGTGTAACAAAAGATTGCCTTATAAGTTAGATATAAATGTGGCCACCACGTTTGGGAAGGAAGAGTTTAAACCACTGATTAAAATTCCATTCTATTGGAGGATTCAGTGCATTTGTGACAAAGTACTATATAACTTTCATCAAAATGAACGGTCATTTAGGTGCTTTTAAGTACAATATTAAAATACTGTATGGCCTCAGCTGGTTTTTGATAATATATGATATTGACTTTTCAACTCGGTATAAACTTCTGTTAAATCACGGACTGGCTATGATCTAATTAATCATGTAATTAATCCCATATGTCATTTAAAAACTACATAGGATCTGTGTACAAGATCCACATGACTTCAAAGGAATATACACTGGTCAGTAAGCATACCATGACGTGATAAAGAGACAATTGTATGATCATGTGTCTTATCTATTCTCCGGTGCTATATAATCAGGAGTTTACGGACAGTTAGGCAGACGACTAAAGACGACTAGAGAGGAGCGAAGACGGAGAGACCGGCGTATGGGCTCACCCAAATTCAGCCGCTGATTTGGCAGAAAGGCAGAATGGTGGATTTAATATAGTTATGTGTATTCTTGTCGTAGTCTAGTTCCGGTATATTAGTTTAGGTTCCTGTATTGTTTTGTATGTAGATGTTAGTATATACCTGATGTAAATAAATCATATATTTACTAAACTGATCTCTGTTATCACTAAGATAGTGTTACACATTCGGTAGACTGTGGTTGTAATATTATGCACGAATAAGACGTGGATGTTAAACCCCATCTATGCGCTCTCTCTCTCTCGCTCTCTCTCTCTCTCTCTCTATACTGCCCCTCCCCTCGATCTCATTGCTAAGTATTCAAGATGACTGTTTATTTGCGTGCACAAGAGGAACTGTCCGGTAGTTGTGGCGACGTTGCTCAACACTGTTTCAGATTAGATTGAAATAAACACAGCAACAACCTGTCCTTATCTATTTCTATGCAAACACTTTTAATGTTAACGATATGATTTAAACTTTGTTTAAACGATACCTTTATCTTAAAATTAAAGATTAGACAGCAACTATTAATGTGAATTGAAGTAGAATCTTGTCATTTCCATCTGATTAACGTTTTCCTTGTCTACGATTCCTGACAGTTACAGGAATATATTGGGTAAGATTCTTGTTTTCTACACACTTATATAAACAAATCATTAATTCAGTGACATAATAAATATATAATGTTTATAATTCTAGTATAAAACATAACATTTAAATTAAAGGCTGATAAAAATCTTGTAACAACATTTTACTTATTTATACGACTCGTCGATTAAACGGGACAAATCTTATCTATTGAAGCAATAAACAGAGTGGGTTGAAATATAATATCATTTCTTACAATTATAAGGGGAAATGTTGCCCGGGCAGCGGCACAATGGCCTACTCTTATATCGAATTCTGACTGTCAAGGGATCTTTTACGTGCACGCCAATGTGTACACTGTTCCTCTGTTATTCGTTCCATCAGAACGATTAGCACCACTGACAAGGGGAAACCACGTCGGAAAATCCCGATAAATTTTCTCGGCCAATGCAGGGATCGAATATGCGACCTCCTGGCTAGCGAGCCAGCGTCTTACCCACTTAGCCACCGTGGCTACTTATTACAAAATTATTACCTTATAAGAGAGAGTGATGGGGTATAACGTCCACTCGACACAAACTAGGTCATTTCGGGACTAACACGTAGTTCAATTTTATTTCAATAATTCGCTTGCGCGTAGGAGTCTTTATCAGTGGGAGGAAACCGGAGGACCCAGAGAAAACCCACGGGGCTGGACAGGCGAACCCTACACACCTTGTCACGTACAACCGGGGAATCCAAATCACGCCAGATGACTCAATGACAGACCTAATGATATCAGACCCCTGCGTGCAAGCGAATTATTAAAATAAAATTTAATCTTATGTTAGTCCCGAAATGACCTAGTTTGTGTCGAGTGGACGTTAAACTCCATCTTTCTCTCTAAAGGCATAGTATGGTGCTCTCATACATTTTATATTGACTGATTCCCCCCCCCCCCTCTCTCTCTCTCTCATTAGAGACTTTTGGCAAGCGGATTTTTCCCATCCGTATCACGTATCCGTATCGTATACACGATACGTTGCGTCAATGTAGTTTTAGAGTTTTGGCAGATTTTCGCGTCGCGTACTTATGCGTCTCTGAGCTGAGCTTAGTTCTATTACAGCATCATCACCAGTAGGCCTACTAGTCAAGTGCCTAGCCTACAAGTCGCTGGGCTGTTAAAAAAGAAAATGTAATGTCAAATCTTATTAAAAATCTTCGACCTCGATTCGACAGCAATTTCTGAAAGTTTGTATTCCTTTACCATAGAACAAAATCATTTACAGGTCCCACCACCCTAAATTTAGCAGCATGTAGACAGACTGGAAAAGTATGAAAATTCCGAGAAAAACACGTCAAAAATAATGATGACATTCCAGTCGTTATCATGGTTAAAATCACATCAAATATACACCTTCGTGTTCTGGGATAGCCTACACATAGATTCATAAAAAAAACCGCTATAACACATCATTTCAACGTCTACAAGTAGCAAAAAGACGGTAAAAAGATGACAATGTTTTACGGACCTTTTCCGTATGAAAGCTGTTCGATACGTGCTGTCGTATCCGTATGCCGTATCACGTATGAGAAATACACACACATTGATGACGTCAAACGCGAAATCCAAACGGATACGCGATACGGACCAGGAATTTACGCTTGCCAATAGTCATTAATATATTCTAATTGAATGTGTAACCTCATCAACAGAACGTTAATAACAATATGTACAGAGGAAGAAATGTCAACATAATTTTGTTTATCTGTTCGTTAAAGAAGATTTTTGTGTTAAATGTTAGGTCACAAAGATAATCATGTTATGTCACTTTACACGCTGAGACATCTGTCAGCCAGCCTGCAAAGTGGTGATAGATGGAAGCTAACTTTATAAAAAGTTCCGCTGGAGGGCTTGTCTGATTAGTTCATAACAAAAACAAACAGGGGGTGGTCTTTAGTGGGATAAGCAACTAACGTATGTAATACAGCCTAAAAAAACAAATCTCTTCCTGACAGTTATCTGACAGAACAACACAAACACTTAAGATACTGTAGAATCTGTCAAACCGGTCATTAAAAGTTGTAAGGAAAACTCATTTACATCATGTATGTCTTTCAACCATTGATCCGAGTTTTGTGTGCATTAGAAGGGTAAAAAAAACCCTGAACGGTTGTATACACGCGATACCCACAGATAGCATGTAATGTGTATATATTTTACCACACACAGCCTAATTAAACAAGAACTAAATACAAACTCAGGGTGTCAACAAATAACAAAAAAACTAATAAACAAAACAAACCTCAACTAGCCAAAAAACCCAACTAGCCAACCGTCTTCTTACACAGCAGTAAATCATGTATAGAAACTGAGGGAATCAACAAATAACAAAAAAATTACCCCCCCCCCCCAAAAAAAAAAAAACGGCAGTCTTTTTACAGAGCAGTAAACCATGTATATAAACTCGTTGATGGACACACTACGTTTTGCATTCCGTGTTGACAGTTCTAATCTTCTAAAATATTGAGTACAGAATATAAAGCGAATAACAAATTGAAAAATATCTGACTTGGATCAGAGAGAGAGAGAGAGAGAGGTTTAACGTCCACTCGACACAAACTAGGTCATTTCGGGACTAACATATGTTTCAATTTTATTTCAATAATTCGCTTGCGCGTAGGTGTCTTTAGCAGTGGGAGGAAACCGGCGGACCTGGAGAAAACTCACGAAGTTGGACAGACGCCCCTACTCCTTGTCATGTACAACCAGGGAATACAAACCACGTCAGTTGACTCAATGACAGACCTCATGATACAGCGCACACCCGCTAACTATTCAGCCCCCCCCTCCTTTGGATCAAATAATATACTTACTTACTAATTAAAGTTTTATCTTAGCTAGGTTGACTATCGTTAATTCAGCTGATCCCTGAACGATCAACAATAAGAAGATATTGCTGGTCTCTCCGCTTTCCGAGTCCTCGGTAACACAGCGAATATCTCGATCGTTCCAGGAATCAGTTAAATTCTATCTGAATTTAATACCCATTAAATATACTTCATTTACTTGAGATCATATTCACGATGATAATCAATTGTACATGTTACATTAATGGGAAACTTGAAAGGAATTTTACATTCTAAATTATGTAAATGGATATGATATTCATGTTTCATAACCACGCGTTGTTAAAAGATTAAGACGATAAAGGGCACATTAAGCAGTCAGTTTTATTCATAGGTCTAGACACCTCAGTATTATTTCCAAAT